CCACCTGAGGGCTGTTGCCAATAGCATGAGAGGCAGAACTGGAGAAGAAGAAGAAGAGAAGCTGTTGGGTGCTTTAGGAAGCTATTAGGGAGCTGTTAGTTCTCCTGGAGGAGCTTGTCATGGAGCTTTCCAGATGAACTCAGCTGTTCTCATCATTGGAGGATCTCGGGACCTTATTGTCACTGAGGGTGGCTGTGGTACTTTTCGGGGGAGCTCTGGTCTTTAGTTTGAGTATTGCTTCCTGGCTCCAGTACAGATCCCTCAGTCTGCTGGCACAGATCCTTCATCCCACTCGCACAAACTCTAGCTTCTACCACTGACCTTTGGGCCTTTCTACCACTGATCTGTGAAACAGGCCTGCATGAGACTTTATCATAGGCTCTAGGCCTCCAGTTGGGCTTGTGGGAGGGATTGTTATGAGTTCTAGGTCTTCAGGTGAACTCATAAAGGACATTGCCATGGGATCCAGGCCCTCAGCTGCATTATTTTGGTCCTTAGTGTGTGGATAGATTTCCTGTGTTCTTTATATGACTCTTTGGGTGATTGTTATAAAATAACTATAAATTATGTGTCCTGTGTTATTCTATCTGACTATAGCAAGGTCATTGGAAAGAGTGGCCCAGATGTATGGCTTAATAATGGGTTACAGAGAAGCCATCTGGAGGGGATGACCCAGCCCTAGCTTCTGTGTAGCACAGGACAAGGTGACTCTCCAATCCTAAAGATCCCACAGAAACTGAGGCCCTGGGCAGGATTTCTGTAGGAGGTTGTACTCGAAGGGTAGGTCCAGGCTTCAGCCAGGGTCAGAGTCAGGTTGAGGTTAAGGCCATGACTGTAGTGTTGGGGGCAAGGCTCAGCCCAGAGCTTAATCTGGTCAGGTGCTGAGGTTTAGTGGAGGAAGATATATGCCAAGACTGTGTCCATGCCAGACATCACTGGGAAATGAAAATTGGCTTGCAGATAACAGTAACAGAAGATGAAAAACAAAGCCAATGCCCAGAATAGTTGTCCAGCTGCACCCTCTTTGGCCTCAGTGGGCCCCATGAGGGAGCACTACAACATCGAGGAAAAAAGGACTGGACTCTCAGAGCCGAGACACAGGCTGCCTCTGCCAGAAAGACTCAAACCTGTTTAGGTTACTGCCTCAGTGTGTGTGTGTGTGTGTGTGTGTGTGTGTGTGTGTGTATTCTCTGAGGTTAAGATCATTGTTGCAAGATTGAAGATCTGAAGACTGATATGGACACTGGGAGTAGGAAAAGGGCCTAGAGAGGGAGGGTGATAGTGAGGGAGAGAAAGAACCCCTGATAAATGGGGCACAGAGCAGCTGCAGAATCAGGGATGGAGTGTTGGGGCTGGGAGAACAAGAATGCCAAGGAAAATGCAAAAGAGAGGCACAGAGTTAAGAGAGACAGTGACCCTGAGCAGAGGGCAGAGGGACAAAGCCAAAAAAGCCAGGAAGGACTTGTGTGGGGTGGGCATCCTAAGGAGCAGGACCCAGACAAAGAGAAACCCAAAGAGAGTGAGAGGAATGACTAAAGGGACTTATGTACTTGGAGGGTAGGAGAGGGGTATGGGGAGAAGAGAGAGCCAGGGAGCATAAATGAGGCCCCTAAAGTGAGGGAATTGTAATGCAGAGGGTGCCAAGGAGCCTGAGAGAGAAAAACATAAATATAAGAGCCAAGAGAGACAAATCCAGAGGAATCTAGAGGTATCATGCCCAAAGTGTATAGAGAAGCGGGTCTCTCCTTGAGAATCTGTGAGAGAGATATTTGATAGAAATCCAGAGAAAAGACCAAGAGTGAAAGATGGAGTTGGATTATACACAACATGAGGAAGAGAGAGGAAAGAGGTGCACAGAGGTGGGCATAAGCAGAGCTATAGAGCCCCGACAGCCCCTACCATGGAGCTCCAGTGGCCTCACCCATCCCTAGGAAAGAACTTACTGCATCGTGGAATACAAGAACTACTGTGTGATGAGTACCCACTGCAGATCGAGCACTGGACCTGGAGCCTGTTTTTCTCATCTTCATGTCAGTACTATTTGCTGTTGTGTCCTTCACAGGACTGACCTCCCACAGGATGGAGGAAGTGTCTCACAGGGTATAGAGTAAGTTCTGGGGAATCCATTCACTAAAGAATGGGTGCTAGAATGAATGAATGGAGAGCTGCTTGCTTGAGTAACAGAAGCAAGTGATAGAGAATTGAAGGCAGGTTTCAGGATGATCCTGATTATCTCCTCTGGGAACTGGGACAGAATGTCATAGGTCAGACAACAGAATGATTGAAATCATGCTTGTGGTGACGGTAGTGTGATGATGGTACCGTGGTATGACATTGTCTCCATCTGTGCTTTCATAGTTCACTTAGCACTCTTGTGAGCATGTGACCTGCTTCTTATTTAATCATCACAGCTATCTTTGACATAGGCACAATTCTGGTATCATCTTGTAGACTAGGAAGCTGAAGCTTATGTGGTTTGTCCAAGGTCATGTAGCTGACAGACGTGGATCCAAGATTGAAAGTAGTCTACTCTACTACTGAAACTGAGCTTTTAACCTCATTACACTTCTGCTTTCCCAAGAATAATGCCATGTATATGTTTGTGCATAGTTTGGCTTGTATGGTTTTGTTTAAGCTTATTATGTGTTCCTACAGTGGTTTGCTAGAAAGGATTATCACTAGAGTTGCTGTTGCCATTTAAGGAATAAGAAAACAGAATTAGGCAATGGATGTGAGAGCAAAGCTCACAGGTAACATAATCTGCACTGGTACTGGGTCAGAGCCTTTCCGAGGACAGAAAGGTGCCACTGGGTGTAAACTTGTCCCTGGATTGAGCATTCCAGGCTTAGGCGACCAGGTGGATGTATGGTGCTTGGCTGGAGTGCTGAGCAGTCAATGCAGGATGTCCAAGGCAGACTCTCAGGAAAGCAGGCGCTCAGGGTTTCAGAACTGAATTAGTACATCTGGGTTTAAATCCTGTCCCTAGCCAATGCCTTACTCAACTACTCTGTGCCTCAGTTTCCTTGTCTATAAAGTAGACAATAATAAGTTTTCCTTTTTAGTATTGCTATGGGCATTGACTTAAGAGTTGTACATCACTTAAGCTAGTCTCACAGGGTGCTAAGGGTTTCATAAGTGTTGTTAAGTCAATCAAAGACATGAGTAAAGGCAGGAAGAAGTGTCCTTGCTAGGAATGGGATGTGAATTAGTGAACTTGAGTGAATCAGAACGCTGGACAGCTCCCAAGCTTTCTGCTCCCATCTGCTGGAAAGTTCTTTGCCAATGAAGCTGGTGTCACCCCTCTGTTTGTTTATTTATTTATTTATTTAAATTTGGGATCAAACCGAAGGGTGCTTCACCACTCAGCCATATCTTGAGTCCTTTTAAAAATCTTTTTCTTTTTCTTTTTGCAATAGAGGGGATTCATCCCAGAGCAAATCCCAGACCTGTAATTTTTTTGAATTTTAATGCAGGACAAATAGATATTAATGAATAAAAATATAAAATATACTCCTTTGTGAAAAAAATCAAACAAAATTTCATAACAATATAATTAGAGAATAACAGCATTTAATATCTTGCATGTCATGACCTTAAAAGAGTAGCCAAGCTGGGGAGATGGCTCAGTAGAATAAGCGCTTACCTGGCAAGCACAAGGGCCTGAGTTCAGTCCCTGGTTCTGCCAGAGAGAGAGAGAGAGAGAGAGAGAGAGAGAGAGAGAGAGAGAGAGAGAGAGAAAAGTGCAGGGGAGAAAGCTTATGGGCAGGGGAGAGAGCTCAGTAGAATGAGCACTTGCCTGGTAAGCGCAGGGTCCTGAGTTCAATCCCTGGTCCCACAAAAAAAAAAAAAAGTGATCAAAATTTACTCAGGCCTTTTTATTTTTATTTTGTGACAGGGTCTCAGCAAGTCACTAAGTTTCCCAGGCAGGGCTTGAACTTGCATTGCTTCTGCTTCAGCCTCCTGGCTTCATCCTTTGTTCTTAATTTTTGGGATCTGCCTCAATGCCTTTGATGTCTTTTCTCTGAAGGAGGGGAGAAAGTTCTTCACCTGAAGGCCTGTCTTTCTGGAGATGGAGATGAGGAGGAGAGTGCCCACTACCAGGGATCTGTCCCTTTCAGGATGTAGAACTATATCATATGCTTATTTGGGGTGGGGGACCCAGGGAACTCATATTAAGAGTGGCTTGGTGCTTTTTTTTTTTTTTTTTTTTTTTTTTTTTTTTTTTTTTTTTTTTTTTTTTTTTTGTAGTATTGAGGATTGAACTCAGGACCTTGTGTTTCCCAGGCAGGTGCTTCTACTGCTGAGCTGTCTCCCCAAACCCTCAGAGTGGCTTGGGAATATGGCTTCTGCTGTCCCCTTACTCCAGAGCTGCTCTTATCCCCTTAACCCATATCTACTCAAATCCTCTCATATGAAGAACTAACCACAGTGGTTCTCTGTGACAACTGAGACTTGGAGAAGCCCAGTAGCATTTCCAGAGAAAAACCATTGTCAAGTGAGGAGATTTGCCCCTTTTCTAAAACACATTGTCTCTCAAGGAATACTACTCTTGGTGTAGGAATGGAGCCTTCTATGGGTTTTCAGCCTCTCTCATGACTGCCTTCTTTGCTACCTTGTTTTTTTTTTTAAATTATTTATTTATTTATTTGTGTGTGTGTGTGTGTGTGGCCAGCTCAGCCCACCAGGGGGCGGGGCTGGCTGGCATGTGGTGCTGGGGGATTGAACCGTGGTCCCTGGGCTTTGCTAAGCTTGTTCTAAGTAGGTGCTTTAGACCACTGAGCCATCTCACCAGCCCCATTCTTTGCTACTTTGTTTCGCTGTAACATCTGGGTGTGGTACAAGAACAATGCTTTCTTACAGTTTCCATCTATACTCACAGGTATCTTCAGTAGTTAAAGTCTACCTCAGTCAAGTAAGTGTCCTCTGCCCTCAGAAATTCCTGTTAGGGCTGCCTATGCAGAGCCCTCCCTGTTCATGCCCTTCTCTGCTTCTTTCCACAGAGGAGATGGCAGAAGGGAAGAATGCCATCCTCATCGGAATGAGCCAGTGGAATTCAAATGACCTCGTGGAACAGATTGAGACCATGGGAAAGCTAGATGAGCCTCAAGGTGAGATTCAGCCTCTCTCATGCTCAGGGTGTGCACAAGGCTGTGCTGTAGGGTGGGAGTAGGGCTGCCAGTTGGGGCTTGGACTTGAGTGGTATATGAAGAGTCATCCATCTGGGTGCCTTCCTTCACAGCATCCCTGAATTCTATCACTTGCAGGAATTCTTTTGGGGACATCTTTGGGATTTGAGATAGTAAAACAACTTCAGGGTATTTCTACAGGTCTTCTTTTGTTTGAGATCATAGATAATTTTTTAAAAAATAGTTTTATTGAGAAACAAATAGCAATGAAACAGTTTCAAAACCGATAACTAACACAGTTTCAATAATTAATACATTGCATATTGTTGTATTAGCGGTTATTCATTGTACAAAATGCAGACATGATATCCTGTCCATAAACACTATTAGAACAGATCTCTGTATTCATTGAATTAAGAGAATGCAGCTGTTTATCTATCTTAACTATTTTGAACATACAGATACAAAATGGTTGTTCATTTGTATCCCCCTTTTCTGTTTAGTTTTGTCAGAGAAGGGTATTCCATTGTCATTTAAATATTTTAGGTGTGTGAATTCAGCAAAGTATTCCAATATAGTCCAGTAGTCCATAATAGTAGTGGGTTTTCTATAAGACTGGCAATGTCAGAAGTTGTAGACTTGAGCCTTTTACAGCTCAGCATATTAATATGGCTTTACTTTTTATACTTCATTTTTATACTTTTCTGTTGGATGGTTAAGATCAAGATAAAGCAAGACCTATATAACAAGAAATGTAACTTTTGTATCTGATAAGGTCAGTCAAATCCCTTCAGGAATTATCCTGAAACCCTGTACTGCAGTTTGTAGGTCCTTTGTCAGCCATGTGGATGAGTCACGGCCATTGCTTGACCAATTTGTTCTCTGTGAAAGCCTGAGAGAATGTTTTCTTTCCATATGACTCTCCTTAGGCACACTACATCATTGATCATTTTCCTCTGTGGCCGCATAATCTCCTTGAGATCATAGATAATTAAAGGCAGGTACTGGTCCAAATCCTTCCCATGCCACGTCTGTGGGGTTGGAATCTGCTCTGTAAGGGAGATGGCATGTAAAGGAGCCTTTGTGCAGGGACAAGAGCTGAGATCTTAGGGAAGAAGGCCAACAGTGAGGATCTGGACTTTTGGCTGAGCTGTTGAAGGAAGAGTGTATGACTGAAGATTCATCCAGTGGAAACTTTTTATGGAGGGACTTTGGGCCAAGTACTTGGTCAGCAGATAAAATCGGTTTATATTTTTAGGCATCCAGCCATCTATTCATTTTTCTATTTTAAAAATCACCAACAGAATACGTATAGAGCATCTCCTGTGGGTAAGGGCTTGGCAGGAGGGAACACAGGTGATTTAACTGAGGCTTCCTCCTTGTCATGCAGGACACAGTGTATGGCAAGACATAGGCATCAAACTTAAGCTGAGGGTTGTTGGCCCAGAGAACTGAGATGTGACTTTTAGAAAGAGGGAGGAGAGAGGATCCAGGTGAAAAGCTCAGCCTTTGAGAGTTGAGTGGAGGAGAGGCCGGGGAGATGGTTCAGTGGAATAAGCGCTTCCCTGGCAAGCACAAGGGCCTGAGTTCAATCCCTGGTTCCGCAAAAAAAAAAAAAAGGAAAGTTGAGTGGAGGATATAGTTGAGGAGCTCAGAAAATATAGGCGCTCATGTGGGTACCTGAGGCTCAGAGAGCCTCACCTGAGTGTTGCATTTGATGAAGGTGGCACTGGAAGAGAACCAGAGCCACAGTTGGAATCCCATCAGAGATACTAACTTTTGAACCTGTAAACCTCAGATCAATGTTCCCCTTCTGTAGTGCTCTTCTTCCTTGCTTTTTTCTTAATAGTCTTGTCTCATTCATGTTGCGATGACAGAATGAATACCTGCCACTGAGTAATGCAGAAGGAAAAGAGGTTTGTTTGATTCATGATTCTGGTGGCTAGAAAATCCAAACGGCTTGACACTGGCATCTGGTGAGAGCCACTGTCTGCACCACAGCATGGCAGGTAGCGTCACAAGGTGGGAGCAGGTGAGAAAGTGGCAGGTGGCGTGAGCCGAGGAGATTACATGGCAAGAGAGAAGGTAGGAAACCAGGAAGGTTAGTGCGGAGGATGGAACCCACAGCCTTGCGCATGCAGGACAAGAACTCTACCACTGAGCCACATCCCGAACACCAGACCCCATCTTATTATCATAACTTCCTTTCACAAACACTTACACTTACCCACTCCTTTGAGTCTTAACCCACCCCACGAGACTAGCATCAATCTTTTCATAAGGGCAGTTGTAACCCAGTCACCTGCTACTAGGCAATGTCACTTAAAGGCCCTACCATCTCTCAATATTGTTACCCTGGGGACCAAACTTCCAGCACATAGACCTTTGGGACAAACTGTATCTAAAGCATAACATTCATTTCCTCTTCTCCTTCCCTTCTTGACTCCAACTTTCCACAGTCATGCTCTGGGGCCAGAGTTGCTAGCTGGTCAGGGCTATCCTACCAGGAGTTAGCCAATGGCCCTGGCCCAGTTCAAGAGGATGGCTATCTCACCACGGCATCTGCTCTCTTTCTAATTCCCTACAGGCCTCCTTGCTTCAGGGTCCTCCCCCTGCCAGAGCACCTGTCCTGAAAAATGGATGTGTCTGGGACCATTTTCCCATTTTACAAATGAGGAACTCCAGAGAAGCTATGTTTTGCCCATGGTCCTCCTTGGCTCCTGATTCTCAGTCTAAGGCCTCTGCTCGCAAATGAGATAGGCATGGCTCAGTCATGAGTTTGGGCTCCATAAAGTTTAGGTTCAAGAAGCCCAGAGTCTTATAAGGAGAGGTATCCTGAGTCACTGTCACATCCAAGGAAGAGCTAGCTGGCACCTGGCTTCTGAGGCCAGTCCAGAGGCATGTCCTCTTGATAGCCATGAATTTACTAATGGGTTCTTGGTTCACTCTTTTCTTCACCACACAACCCCCCAAAGAGACTGTCGATTCCATGGCACACTCCCTGACCATGCTTAGTACCACAAAAAGACAAACCCAGATTTATGCTCCCCACTCATCTGACCATCCTCTTCTTGCTCCCACTTCCACTTGCCTGCTAAGGAATCTCTGACTCAGACACAGTGTGAGCTCAGGAGGGGCTGAGCAAGAGGCGGTGTGAGCTGGAAGGTGAGAAGGAAGGAGGGAAGGGAGCAGAAGGGGAGGCCACGGGAGAGGCAGAAGCAGTAGTCTTGGAAGGTGAGAAGTTTGGGTTGTGGCTTCAGCCATGACACTCTGTGGCTCTGTTGGTAAGGAAAGTCCCATTCTTTCTCTGAGCCTCAGTTGTTTTGTCTGCAGAGTGGGGAACTAGTATAAAAGTTATGACAATGAAATGAGACAATGCTTGCAAAATGCATTTGGTAACAGTTCATTCCAATGGTGGAGGAGGAAGATAAGAGGGAACAGTCCTACATAAGAACAGCTCAAAAGATACTTTGTGGTGCTGATACTCAATTGCATCAGGGCCTTGCTTGCCTGAGTCTGAGAGCTGATGTGTCCTCCTAGCACAGAACAGGGAAAAGGAGGCAGGGAATACAGGATGAAGAAGAGCAAGCCAGCAGGATTTCCAGGGTCTCCCGTGTTCCATTGCCCACAAATTCATAATGTGAAACCCTGCAACACAACAGAACATCCAGGTTAATTCCCTTCATTTCAGCAATCATTTATGGAGTCCTTACTGGGGCCCAGTTTTGAGTGGGATGTGGGGGAAGTGAAGATGCATAGGGTGGCATTGGCACTTCATAGGAGCCTGCAGCAGAGCCCAGGTAACTGCAATAAAATAGGCTGAGCCAAGCCCTGAAAGCAGGTGACTCCAGGGAATATTTTGAGGAGAGGAAATTTTGAAAACACTTTGCTGAAAAAAAAACTGCAGTGCAAGTTGGTGGTATAAACAGAACTGACACTTGTGCTTCCTTTAAGTTCCCTGCCCTTAAATTAAGACCCAATTAAAAAAAAAGACCCAATACTATTATGGACTACTGAACTCTTTTAGATTATTTTGCTGAGTTAATGCACCTATAATATTCAAATAACGGAACTTAACAAAAAAAAGGTATACAGATGAATGTCCATTTTGTATCTGTGTATTCAAAGTGGTTGGGATAGATATATAGTTACATTCTCTTAATGAATAGAGTGATTTGCTCTAATGGTGTTCGTAGATAGGATATCATGTCCGCATCTTGTACAGCAATTAACCACTAGGAAGAATGTATGCAATGTGTTAATTATTGAAACTGCCCTACCAATTTGATTTGAAACTGTCTCATTGCAATTTGTTTATCAATAAAATTATGAAAAAAAAAAAAAACAAAAAAACACAGGGCCGGCAAGCAGGCAAGCAGGCTAGGGGCTGGGAGTTCAGTCCCCAGACCTGCCGTGTTGGCCATGCCCCGAGCGCATGCTGACGCAGCAATGGAGACTGGGTGTGGTGGCATGTGCGCCTGTAATCCCAGCTCTTGGGAGGCTGTAAACAGGTGTATCACTATGAGTCCAATCTAGTAGTGAGACCCTGAACACCCTGTACACCCTTCCCTAAAATACGAAAACAGAAACCAAAACCAAAAAACCACCAAAACAACAACTACAACAAAAACCCCCACAGGGCTCCCACCAGGCAAGGCCTCTCATGGCTGACGTTCTGGCCAGTTGTATTTCCTCCATGAGCGCCTCAGATACCTCTCCCAAAGGTGTCTCCTGGCTCCAAGTGCTTATTTTTGGCAGCGCCCTTCCTGGATGTCATAGAGACGCCTCACGCTCTACAAATTCCTGACAGGGCTGACCTTCTCCCTCTGAAACCTGAATTGTGCTCTATGGTCCATCTTTTCTGTCCTTACCTCGTTAAATCATAGATCCCATGGCACTTTCTGACTGTTCTGCTAACTTCGGCTCTTGAGGATGCTGATCTGGGGTAGTGTGCGCATGCGTATGCATATGCACGCCAACCA